GAGCCCACCCGCCTCCCTTCAACTCCCGTGGGCAGCAGGGACGTGCGGGAGGATGGGCTCGGTGGCACACGTGCCATTGCCCTGGGAGCTGGGGTGCCTAGGTCCGTCTGTCCGGCAGCAGGGCGTGCAGGGACGTAGGGCCGGGGCGGCTCTGCCCCGCTCGGTGGGAAGGGGGGCTCAGGCTGCGGTCAGCAGGGGGAGGGATGAAGTGGATACAGCAGGAGGGATTCCTGGGTGTGAAGAAAGGTCCCTGCTCTGTTAAAATTAATAAATAACTTGTTACATAGGGCGTATTCCCGCCCTCTTGCTGAAACTGGGTTCCTTCAAATAAAGTGCCTGGTAGAAATCAACCCACGCAGGAGCTGCGTCCCTCCTCGGGGGCCGGCAGTGCTCCTGCCCGTGCCTGGCAAAGGGCTCTCCCCCCCGGCCCCCAAAACAAGACGTGGCTGCAGGGCTCAGCACTCATCCTGCCAACACCGACTCAGCCTGAAGCTGTGGGTGAGTCTACTTGGTTTCTGCCTCAGTTTCCCCTTTGGTTACAAAAAAGGGAGGCGGAGCAGCCCTGCTGGCTCCTGCAGATGTGCCCTGCTTGATAGGATGCTCTGGGGACTGATGGGTGAAAGTTTGGGGATGAAGCATCAGATGTGCGAAGAAGCTTTGGCATCCTCGCCACCCGGTATTTCCCAAAATGTCTCTCTTATTTTTAAGGCTCTAATGTTAAAGGACATGTTACCTATTGAATTGGGGCGGGGGGGGTCCCCTTCTGAGATTTCCTCTGGCCTCATTCCACTACTGCTCTCGAGAGCTTTCAGCTTTCCAGGAGAGACCAGCTCCTCTCCTGGATGTCTGCTTGGCAGGCAGCGAGCCCACGGTCCCCGGCTGGCATCCCCGCGGCCGCCCTGGGGACGTCCCTGCTGGAGGGGACAGCAGTTACTCTCCCGGGGCTGACCCTGGCCTCCCTCCTCCCGAGCAGCCAGCCAGAAGCTCCTGCTTTGCTCACCCGCAGCCAGTTCATCTGTGCTTTTAAACATCCCCAGGGAATACTTCTTTTTTTCCTGTTTCTGGTGTTTTGCTCCCATGCCGAGGGGCTCCTCTGCCCCCACCCCTGGCCCCCCCGGGGGGGGGCGCGGGCCCGA